CCATGGCCCCGTACTGAACTGTGATTCCAGGTGCTTTCCAAAACAGACGTTTTGCACAAAGAATTAGGACTGTCATAGTCTAATCTTCTTAGAATCGCTCATCCCATCAATTCATCGATTAGTCAGATACTATTTTATTCTAAAGTGTATTACAAAACCTTATTTTTTTCCTCCAGATAACTCTTTACAAATAAATTATTTTTCATTTAGTGTTGTTTTGTAATTTAAAAAAAAAAAAGCTATTCAAGTTTGTGCCACAAGAGGGATTGATGTAATTGCCAACCTCTTTGAAATTGATTCAGTTACTGGTTCGGTCATGGTTTTTACAAACTAAAGGGAGATGCTTGGAAATGTCTAATTTTGATTAAAACACAAATAATAATCAGTCTGTGATCATGAAAGACTCCAGAAAAATCAGAGAATAATTAGTGTTGAGATAGCACAAAAATGTTGCCCACTCGGCATCCGGTGAAGCTTGGTCAACCTGGAAGGGGGATTCCCCCAAATGCGGCCCCTTCTCAAGGTTTCTCATTCTTCCCCCCAGGTTTTTTTTTTTTTAAAGTGCGGGTGGGGGGGAGTTTTCCCTTGCCCTGCTAGGGGTTAAGATCAGGGGGTGTCGTTAATATTTTTCAACTGTGCGCCTGTGAAGCTTTTTGAGACTCTTCCGTGATGAAGAGCTATCTAAATAAATTTTAAATTAAAAAAATCAGAGGATTTGGACAATTTTAAGTTAAACAATAGCTTTTAACAATTACTTGATGATTAAAATAGTTGTCGCTTAATTTGACAATTAATTAGTTGTTGATTAACTACAGTAATTAATTTTGAGGAAAATGTATTAATTATTTATGGGGGTGGGGTGAGTACACACCAAATACGATACAATGGATGTCCTCCGTTGTTGTCCTTTGTTTACAAGTGACCCAGTCCTCCACTTGGAGTTGACTGGCGACGTAAGACTGTCACCGTGCTAATCATACGATTGATGGAACTGACTTCCGAGGCCCTTAAACTTGACATGGTGCAAAAGGCTAATTTATGACCGCTGTCAAATAGTTTGAAGTCACTGGACCTCAGTATCGTGATCAGCTCATAAGCTTTTAAAGACCAAACAGGGCGGAAAGCACAAATACGATAAAGGAGGAGCATCTCATGAATAACAAAGAAGGGTCTGTCGTGTTTCAGATTTCACAAAAAAAAGTCATTCATCTGTTTTCCATGTTGTGGAATCAAAGACAAAATCTTCTGACAGCATTACTTAAACTGTAGCAGTTGACTTGCAATGGCAAACTTCGGCTGCCTCGACTATCACGGTGTGTCTGCAAAATAGTGACTTTCCTCGAGTAAACATCAAAGCTCCATTGCAGATGCAGTCACGAGACAAGCAGCAGCATGAGGAGAAGGAGCGCACCGTGTCACATGTTTTACGTGTTGATGTTCACGGCAGAACAAACGAGGGTTGTGACTGCAGTGGAATTGGACTGGCATTCCAGAAAGTCACCGAATTCAACCTCCAGTTGGGCACGGACCACACTCCAGCACCGGAAGGCCGCAACCGGAATCGAACCCTGCACCTCCGCATTGCAAGCCCGACGCGCTAACCAGTCGACCACTGGCCCTAATTGGCAACTAATAGATTAGCAAACGTGTCAACAACACATGAACTTAAAATGATCCAAATCCTCAGAGTTTCAATTTGTCAACACTCAATATTCTCCGATTTCTTTAGTCCTCCAAGAAAGCAGACTTCTTCGTGTTTCATAAGGATGGACGATAAGTACCGGACAGATAACTCTCTGACTGACATTGAAAAAAAAAATTGGTCTGATATCAACAAAACTGGACCACGAACAAGCGGCACTTCAAATACACCAATATTGGTCTGGGTACCGTCACTTTCAAAGTGTCACATGGCTGGATTCTGCTGCCTCGTGTAGCACGTATATATGGCACAGCCAGCACCAGAACTCTACAATGTTGGGACTATTATGCTCACTGCACAGGTTGATGCGGCAATAGCTGGATGAGCACTCCAGCACGCAAAAGATGACTGACACCTGGATTCGGAGGCCTGGGATGTTAGCATACGTTTCAGCTGGCCATAAGAGAGACTGTGCTGAGGCAGACCACATATGACCCCCCCGACCCCCTGTATTTTGGTCATGTCGCCATCAAACGCAAATGTAATATCAAATGCATTCCTTTGCAGATGAGAGAATTTGAAGTTTCATATCACGCTGGTCATAGTTAGAAATTGTAAATAGCGGGAAGCCAAAATAATTTTCAGGCGTGCAAGTCAGACTTGACTTGATTTACGATTTGCTTAAAACAATTGCCGACTTGACCCGCTTGAATTTTTGGGAGGACTTGACAGACTTGATTTTTGCCACATTAACTTGGGAAACTTGAAATTCATCACTTGAAACTTGCTTCATATTGGTACCTTCGGTATATGACTTCGTCCCACCTCTGCCCCGCTGTCATCACGCGGTCCGCTAAAGTTCGAGTGACTTCATGGCGAGACAAGCAATTAAAACATCAAATTCCCACAATGTCCCCTTTTTAGCTTGCCCTCACGAGAATCAGAAACTATCCACACGTGCTTCTTAAAGTTAATCATTTCGGCATTACTTTGGTACATTTCTCAATGAGAGCCTGTGAATGGAATATCCCGAGACGAACTAACAAGAGTGTACAAGATACACATTTATATGCAACCTTCATTCTTGGACAAGCTATGACTTTCACTTCACTGCGAGAATAATAGATGAATGGATGTTTTATTTCAGCTCAACTCTCTCGATATTTAAGGCAGTCCGCTCTCGACTTTGCTATTTTCATGGTGAGGCGTGACATGTCTCGAACTGAACGACAAACGATAACGATATGCCGACTGTCTTTCATTCGGACTGTTTTTGTTCAACATAGTTCATATACTGGCGTAGTGAACATACAGTAATATGTATCACTCCGCTGGTTGCATTTCAGCACTAATAACTGTTGTCATGTATCCCTGCGCTGCTCACACTTTAACAGCTGAGTCCCCGAAACGGGGAAATAAGCTCACATTCACCAAACAACATTACTACAAGCGAAGCCATTACAGAAAAAAAAATACAAACATTAACTCCTTCATAACAATGTGACATGTCGAAGATGCAGGGTCATGGTTTCGGCTTTGGTTAGTGCGTCAGTCTCGTAAAAATCACACAGGTAGATGACAAAGGCGTGTCTTTTCCTATCAACGACCAAGTAACTTTCTACATTCGCGCGAGTTATGGAGCTAACATACACAAACACTCATGTCGTCAACAGCAACGGAGACAGGAAGACTCTCACGCAGAGACCTTCACACCCCACTGAGCTAACTTGCTAATTAATTAGCTCATCACAAACGTGCAGCACAAGCGTCATTGAAGTGAAGCTCACCTGTTGTGGGGAACAATCTCATTCCTGTGCTTGACTTGACATCCAGAGGTTGTAAAACAGTTGGGCTACAAGAGGGAAGCAGCCCTTGCTAACAGTAGGGGGTGGGGGGGTCACACCGCCACTTTGGAATGTTCAGCGGCAGGGGCTGGCAGCACCGCTGGGGTGGAGTGAGGCGACCGGCCGCTAGGAGGTGGTCGCTTGCTCGAAAAGATCGAGAAGTGGGTCCTTTTCTCCCAGTGGTGTCCAAACTTTCTCTTCCGATTGCCACATTCAGGAAAATGGGAGGATGCAAGAGCACTAATTACGATGAAATCAACACGTTCTTGCTTCGTTTATTTTTCTAGACTTAATATTCAACAAAATGGGAGTTTTCATCCTTCCATAAGACATAAGACCTCTTCCTCCTCTGCACACGCTCTCTCTCTCTCTCTCTCTCTCTCTCTCTCTCTCTCTCTCTCTCTCTCTCTCTCTCTCTCTCTCTCTCTCTCTCTCTCTCTCTCTCGCACTC